GTGAACTAGTATCAAGTCTATTTGTATAGCTCAGTGAATAAATACTGCATTAAAAATGTTCACAGAACTGCTTAATAAATCTACAATTCAGCTCAAGTATGGCTTATGTAAACTAGTAGGAATCTTGGCAGAGTCCTTTGCAGTTTTACCTACTTTGTTTGGAAATGTAAGATGTTAATTAAAAAGAAGGTAGATGACAGCATCCAGGATGATTTGAGCTGGCAGCATCTTGCTAGCTATATGTAATTGGTTAAAACCAATTTCTTCCTAAATCTCCCTATTCGTGAGTTTGAGCCCACGCCTCCTCCACTTAGCTTATTGCGAAAGCTTCTGGTTTGCTAGCTAGGGACATCATGATTTGGTCATTTTTTAGGCTTTTCGAAGCCCTTTTTTTAAACCACAGAGTTAAATTTTATGTGGCAATATAACAGATTGCAAGACAGCCTATGAGAAATCAGGGTTGGATTAGCATATTAGGAAAAAAAATTGATCAAGGAATTACCTTTCTTTGGAGCGCAGGAAAATCGTGTCAGTCCCAAATATGCAAAAATAGCAATCACATTTTCTCAGCAATTTCTAGAAGAAGGCTTTGGAAGAGGAAGTGTAGTTTCTAGCTATGTTAGCCAGTAACCATAGCTAGCTAACAACTGATAAGTTGAGAAATACATTATTTGGCTTGGGTGCTCACTTTATTGGCATCTTTCCTTTTTCTTTATAGTCTAACTCTGCACATCCCGCCCTCATAGGCACTAAGTGCCCTTTTGTCTTCTCTTGCCATCCTTCTGCTTAAGTTAAGATTCATGCACTTTAGTGTAAATGAATCTTTAAGCCAAACCCCTGATTGTTGGGGTAATTTTAAGATTTGATGATTGTAGGAATTATTACCTGTAAAGGAGTTAAATATTCTTTTTAAGCAGGCAGTCAGATGTTTCTTATACAGGAAAAGTTTTACCAGATTCACATGAAGTAAGGTTTTAGAAAAGGGTACTTAATCAGTTCATAAGGAAGCTGCTCCTACTTTATTCTTTATCAGCTGTAAATGAAGCTGATCTCCAAGGTTGAAAGATGCCTTAATATCTGATTTCCCTACCCAAGTTTAGAGTCTATGAGGAAAATTTTTCTTTTGTATTTTTTGTACATTTACATAGCATCCTATTAAAATATACAATTCAGTCGTTTTTAGTGTATTCACAGTTATACAATGATCACCACTATCTAATTTCATAACATTTTAATCACCCCCAAAAAGAAACACATTAACAATTGCTCCCCATTCTCCCTTTCCCCCATTCCCTGGCAACCACCAATGTACTTTCTGTCTCCAAAGAGACAGAAAGTATATCTATCGTAGACATTGTATATAAACAGAATAATATAATACATGGCCTTTTATGCCTGGCTTCTTTTAGAAACACAACATTCTCAAGGTTCATTTATGTTGTAACATGTATCAGTACTCCATTATACTTTATAGGTAACTAACGTTCCACTGTATTGATATATTTTATTTATCTTTTCATCAATAGCTACTTTTTGGCTATTATGAATGATGCTGCTATGAACACGTTCAGGTTTTTATATGGACATATATTTCAATTATAAAGGGGAAATTTTTATCCCTAAACCAATTTTTATACCTGTATTCTTAATTAGGCTATCACCTCCCTTAGGGAACATATTTTATCCTTGTTAATATCACCAGTTCTTGGCACAGTGCCCTGAACTCAAAAGGTGTTCCAGAAAGTGCTGATGGTGACAACTCGGAGGGATTAGGAGGTCTACAGGACCCTTGAGAACTTCTTTGGTGCTCCAGCTACATTCCGGTGGCTGTGCACTGGGATTTTTGGTCTGTTCTAGAATATTAAGTGAATTCTATTCATTCTTCGAGATGTGACATTCCTACTACCCCAAAACCCCCTTCGAATATACTACTCCCTTGAAGCTTTTCCCAAACCAACTGGATAGGATTATTCTTTAAGACTTTTGTATTTGTAAGATTGAATTTTTACTTTAACAAAGGCTTTGGGATAATCGGACTTGCCTTGTATTAATAGTTATGTACGTGTTTATATTCTCCCCACTTGATGCTAAGGTTTAAAAGTCAAGGACTGTTTCTTATTCATCCATTGTCCAGAGGATGCGCCTCATGTCTTTGCCACCAGAGGGACGCATTCATTGCTTGTTAACTTGGACATAATTCAGAGCCAGGTGGCCATCTAGAAAGGAGGATGCAAAATGTGCTAACCAGTCATAACAGGAGCCTCTGTAGAATTCCACTGGTTTCTGGAGTATAATGTATGGGCTTTTGTAGTTATTGGGGTGGGGAGGAGGAGAGGCCCAGAAGATGAATGTCTGTTACTGACATAAGAGATGTGTGAAAAAGCTGAGTCATTCTACGCATTGGTTGTTTTCACTCGCAAGGTGCACTCCGTGCTTGCACCTGCCTGCACCACCGTCCCTTGCTGACTCATCCTCTTCCAGGGCTCAACTTCATCTCCCCTCCCAGGAGTCCTCCAGTGTAGACTCAGGCCTGTGGCTCTGAAGCCAGTCTGTCTGGTTTGCATTCCCACTCTGTAATGGATTAGCCACAGACTTGAGCAAGTGATTTAACTTCCCTGTGCTGTGGTTTCCCCATCCAAAGACCTGGGACAGTTTTGGTCTCACAGGTCTGTTTGTCGTAGAATTCAGTAGAGTGTTTGAATGGTGTCTGGCATAGAGAAGGTGCTCACCAAATGTTAGTCATGGTTAACATTTCATTCTATCACCATTTCTTTCCTTTCTGAACTCCTTTGTCACCACATGGTTTGGTAGCTAATTGTTCTCTAATTTTTCTTAGAGAGTGATTTTACTTGGTCCTTGATCATTTTTCTGGTGGTCTCGCCTATCTGAATCACACCTGAGAACCACAAGGCAAGCAAATGACAACACCTCCACCTGCTACCACCATCAAGGCAACTGAGCACCCCGAACCAGGGTCACAGAACCCCAATATCAAAAACCGATGTCCTTTACTCATAAAACCTTACCCCCTCGCTCATAGCCTACTGACTGTTAGCGTGTGCCTAGTTAGAACAAGCTGCGTCATCTGCTTCCCCAGCCCACAGCATAAGCAAAGCAGTCCAGGGTCGTTTGGCATAGAGGAAAACGGTCCTCAGTGCTCCTTAGCAAATACTTAAGAGTGTAGCAAACCTTTAGAATGCCCATAACCTTGTCCCTGAGGGAGAGGAGTTTAAGAATGCAAGAAAGTGTCAACCCATTTTAGAAAGATTATGATTACCATTATCTAGAAATTAAACTTACATGATAGTGCCTTCTCAAATGACATCAAATGAACAAGAGATCATGGTATGCTCATTGTTTTTCTTCCTCACCATGTGGTAAGCTCTTGGTTGGAGGGTTTCAGATCTTGCATTTTTTTTGTGTTCCCATCACAGCTCCCAAGTCTACGGACTACTCCGTAGAATCCTGTTAATTCTTGAGCAAACAGTTTACATTAAAAAGGCCTATACCTTGGTTTTCAAGTGAATTAGATCTGACTCCCACCCCAAATATATATATGCCTGTGTGTGTGTGTGTGTATAATCAGAGTCATTGGTGTGTATATTTTACTAGAAAACATTATCAAAATAGAATGTTTATGAATTAGCATTTAACACAATATTTAGTGATCCCTTCTTTCAACATATGTTTATTGAGCACTTGTTATGAGATATACACCGTATTTGTGTGCTAAGAATGTGGTGGAGGCCAGGCGCGGTGGCTCATGCCTGCAATCCTAGCACTCTGGGAGGCCGAGGTGGTATATTGCTCGAGGTCAGGAGTTTGAAACCAGCCTGAGCAAGAGCAAGACCCTGTCTTTACTAAAAATAGAAAGAAATTAATTGGCCAACTAAAAATATATAGAAAAAATTAGCCAGGCATGGTGGCACATGCCTATAGTCCCAGCTACTTGGGAGGCTGAGGCAGAAGGATCGCTTGAGCCCAGAAGTTTGAGGTTGCTGTGAGCTAGGCTGACCACTAAAGCACTCTAGCCCGGGCAATAGAAGTGAGACTCTGTCTCAAAAAAAAAAAAAAAAAAGAATGATTTGGTGGTGTAAGACCAATGTGAGTTGTTCCCCTCTTGGGGGCCTGACACTGGAGTTGCTCTGTCCACTGGCACTGACTGTGGTCATGGAAATATTTCACATCTGTGCCATCCAGTGCTGCAGCCACTTGCTGCACAGGGCTCTCGAGCATTTCAAATGTGGCTAGTGCAACTGAGAAACTGAATTCTAAATTTTATTTAACTTTAATTAGCTTAGAGTTAAATAGGCACATGCATCAGTGGCTATCGTGCCTGGAAATCCAGCTCCAGCATCCAGTGCTGTGACTGCAATTTCACTTAAGCCCACTTAGTCTTCCAGAAACATCCAGCCAGAGTTGATATGGAGAATGGCCCTAAAATCCTACCAGACCCTTGATCATTAGACAAAGATTTCATTAACTCAGACATTTTAAAGAGCTTTTTCAATAAAACATATTTCTTGCATATCCACAAGCTCAACTTCACTAAAGAACTCTGAGTTAATCCAGCTGAATCTGAAAGACCTCTCCCTTTGGGCCTGTTTATGATACTTTAAATTCTTATCATCTCAAGGGAAAATCACTTGGCACAAACTCGGAAGACAAAGAGGGTTGGGGGATCATGATGCTTTGGCTTCTCAGCTTATTGAAAGAATTATTGTGGGTCCCCACCTGTCTTCTCCACCCCCATGTGCATATCCACACACACTTATGTACATGTATGTGAATGCACGGTGGTTCGCTCTCTGTAAAGAAGAATGCCTTCCTGGAATCTGCACTAACATGCTGACAGCTTGAAGTAAGGCTGGAAGGATTTGGCCCTGTGCATGTATTCCATATCTCACCAGCTGCTTCTTAGATTTCAGTCTGAATAGTTTGCAACCTTAGCCAACAGAACAAAGTGGAAACATACAGACTCCCTCTGTGGCCTATTCTAGATCTAAGAGGCAACCACTAGGAAGAGGAGGAAGGCTGGTGACTCCAAAGGCCATGCTGAGAAGTTGTGCAAGTGCAGAAAATGTGTTGGCCTGGGAGCTGGAGGCATGGCACAGAGCCGGGGAGCCCAGGTGAGTCTCTCTATGTTTCTGGGCTCTGGTTCCTTCCCCAGCAAGACTGAAGAACTGCACCAGATTCGGGCCATGGAGGTGATCGCCAAGAATAGTTCTAGTCTATTACTCCTTTTCCTCCAGAAATCTGCCCAGATAGGGCCATCCCCGGCAGGGACAGCTGGGCCAATCACTCTGCAGTTCCCAGCTCCACGTCAGAGGGAAGCTCTGGGAGGTGAAAGGTCCGGATGGCATTGTGTACCAAGGGTAAGTATGGATACGGCTGTAGTGGGCAGAATGTGAGGAGGGTGTGTTCCACCCTCTTAGCTCTGGGGAAATGATACATATATGAGCCATACATCTTTTTCTAGTCTTATAGCTCTCTGAACCATGTAATAGAAGAGGACCCCAAAACCTGGGGTCTGAGATAAATTCCTTGATTACTGCACTTTGGGGCCAGTTTGGTTATGTGCTTCTGTTGGGGCCACTACCATTGTTGTAGAAAGAGCCCAGGTTGAATCCTGGGGAAGTGTGGCTGGCCTCCAGCTCTGGAAAAGGGGAGGCCCAGAGGAATGAAACCAGGCAAGGAGGAACAGAAGGCAGATGTGACTTTGCCTAAAGCCAAAGCTATGGGTCCCTCTCTTGCCTCAATGGCTCAAGAGTGCACAGCAGCACCTAGTCAGGAAGGCATCACTTCTTGCAGGCACTGGTCATCCTGGTCCCCTAGTAGCAGAGAGCAAGGAGTGAAAACCAGGCTTCTCCCTTTGGGAAGAAGGCTCCTTTTTGGAGGTAGGGTAGGGAGTGATAGTCATTAGCGTCTTTCAGAGCTGGTGAAAACTACGGGCCCTCTCCCGTAAATGCCCCTGTGGAAACCCCAAGTCCTGCAGCCTTTCAGAGGACTCACATGGGTCTCTGTGGGCCCCCTGGGATGATGCTTCCCAATGTGTGTTCCCTGGTCCATCTGCTGTCAAATCCTCTGGGCGGGGCGGGGGTAGGAGTAGGGTTGTTAGAATGCAGATTCCAGGGCCCCATACTGAACCTACTGAATCAGAATCTTTGGGTAGGGGAGATCTTGGAATCTGCCCTGAGAGTTCCTTTGGGAACAAACCCTCCTGTGAGAGAAGTTCGGGGAGCAGACTCTGCATAACAAGTACCCCAGCTGCAGGTGGAAAGGTCTGGGATTAAGGGAGAATCAGGAGTAGGCTGGCTGCTCTCACTGCAGCGGGCTGGGAAGAGCCTGGGGTCGGGAGCCAGGGGTTCTGTGTTCTGCTCCCAGCACTCCCGGGAGCCACAGAAATGATTCAACTCCTTAGGCCTCCAGCCATTTGCCTCAGTGATGGGGTGGAAGGAACTGGCAACTAAGGGTTGTCCAGCTCTCCTTAGCATGGGGGTGCAGCCTGCTGAGGAAAGCAGGGGGAAGGCTCTTTGGGCTTGGAGCAGTGTATCCATACACATTGCTGGTTGCCAGATGGTTTTGCCTTGATGGTTTTTTATTTCCTTCGCTGTGGTGGCTTGGTTTCTCACTTATGAAAGTTTAAAAAAATACACATACATACATAAATATTTTTTCACACTTGTATATATTTTATTATAAAAGTGACATATGCTCATTGCAAAAAAAAAAAAAAATTCAAGCATTACAGAAATGCCTCTCCCTCCATGGCCAACCTTGATCATATTTCTCAGATAATTTTTTTTTAATAATTTGATATATTCTAAACTTTAATTCAAAAAAGCATGTCAGAGCAACAGTAGCACAATTAACACTACATATCACACAATGTGCTTAAATTTAAACCTCATGACAATGATGCAAGGTATCTCTCTCCCTGATTAGAGTTGGAAACATTTTATCTATACATCTGCACAAACAACAAAAATCTATTTTTTACAAAATGAGATGATATAATACTGTGCTATAACTTGATTTTTCATTCTTAATATATCGTGAATGTTTTTCCATAACTATACATGCTGAACTTTTTAACATCTACAGTGTTCAATTATATGAAATCATAATTAAGCAATCCCCAAGTGATTTTTTTTATTATTACAAACAATGGTACAGTAAACTTTTTTTTTTACAGATATCTTTGTGTATTTGTGTGAGTATTTGTGTAGGATAAATTTCTAGAAGTAGAAAAAGTAGGTCAAATAGGACATGTAGATGAAAATTTGTTTATACTTCCCTGACAATCTGGGTAACAGAAAATGAATTGTATTTGAATGTCTCTTCTAAGTGCTGAAGGTCTTTTCTAATCTAAGTCTAAATACAAGGTGAGGATCAGGACACTGGTTTCCCAGAGCTGGTTTTGGATTCTTGGCGCTGCCACTCAACAACTATGAAACCTGGAGCCCCAACGCGGGCGTGTCTTTCATCATTCTAGGCCTTGATTTCTTCACGTGAAATGACAACATGGTATGATACTGTTTCTGAAGGCTCCTTTTGCTCTAACATTTCCCGATTTGATTAGTGCTTTAGCTCTCTGCCTTTGTTTTCCTATTTATAAAAAAAGGGTTTGATTCTTTTGGCTTCCCAAGATTATCAGTTAATGCATCCATCAGTTAAGAACTATCAGACTTTGAAGTGCTAAGTAGTTGTCTTACTGCTTGTACAGCAGGCAGCTCTTTGCTGCATGTGACCTAAAACTTCCTTGACTTCTAAAGCTTCTGGGTCTTTAAGAAAACAAGATACTTACTGAATCCAGGAGGCCACTCTGTCTCAGCAGTCTGGAGGGGGTGATGAGAGGCAGGACAGTGTTTGGGAAGGCTGATCGGGTATCACTTCTCTCTTGGGAACCTTGCCTTCCTGGAATGAGTATTTCCAACTGTACGTTCCCTAACAAAGAAGGGATTGTGTGGACCACGACCTCATGGAACACGCAGCATGTATTACGTGAGGGGCTGACCCAAGCTGCATTGTGGCGTTTGGGACAAAGTCTCAGATAATAAGGCTTTCCATTTTCACTGCGTTCCATAGTCACTATCCCACTGAACCCTCTCAGCATTTCTGATGCAATAGCCAGAGAGGGGACACTTATCCCCACGGTTAAGATGCAGATGCAGAAATTCCGAGAGCAACGGCTTGTCTCATATCTCAGGGTGGCATGTCACTCTCCAGTGCTTTTCCGAGGGCCCTTTTTAATGCCTGGACCCCTCTTTAGCGCCCTCTCCAGTCTAGATGTATCCAGTGGAGGAGGTGTGACACCTTGATACCTTAAGGGGCATGTACAAGCTACAACATGGAATTTCTCCGAATTCGGGATCCTCCCGATGGTGAGTTTTACTTTCTAAAACACAAGAAAGAAGAAAATTATATGATTAAAGATTATCCTTTACGGTGGTTGGTTCTCAGTCTGTCCTCATTCACACACTTTGAAGCTGTTTTTGAAGAAAATCCTGTGATGAACTGTGACATGTGGGCCACAAGCAGCCAGGGATGACTTGTGTATTTGGGTGGAAGGTGGGTTATTTTCTGGCGTCCACTGGCCTGAGCCTTTAGGGCAGATTCCAGAGGGCATCGATGGTGTCCAGGTGGGCCCACTTGCGCCAAGACTTAAAAGAGCCTCTTGAAACTAGTGAATCAAGATGAGACCACCAGACAGGACCAAGCCCAGACAAAACTGGGAGGAAATTGAAGTTTGATGAGTTTTGCAGGAAATCTAGCTTGTTCTGCCCTTGCGCGTGCCCCCCCACACACACACCCACGCGCGCGCTCCCCCCCCACACACACACACACTCCTCTCCCCGGCCTTCTAATATCTCACATTCTCTCCCTTCACTGACCCCAGCCCATCCCCACTCACCCTCCCATTTATCTCAACTGTAGCCTGACAGGAAGGAAAGCAAATGTGATGGGCTCGGGGACTTGAAAAACATCAGGGGCCCTTGGTTGTTCCTTTATTGGTGCCACATTGCCCTCTTCCAACTTTTTCTTTCCAGGGATCAGATGTTTGAATTTTAACCGAGGATTGGATATCCATTTTAACATAAAGAAATAAGCCAGGAATGGTGGAAGTGGAAAAGTAGGGGGATTTTCTGATCTTCTGGACAGTCATGTCAGTGAGACCCCATATTTCTCAGTGGCATCCAGGAGTTGTTATCAAATAGAAAGGAGGAAGGCAGAGCCCGCACAAGAGAAATGCCGTCGCCTCCCTCCTGTGCAATGACTCCACAGTGTAGAAGGGCGGTCATGATAAACTGCAGTCAGCAACACCCAGGGAGAGTTCCTGGATCAGCTCCCAGGCAAAAACTCTTTTCTTGATTTCTAAGCCAATGTCTGGATCTTTGGGTCAGAGTACTGTTTGGTAGCTTTCAGAAGGGCTTAAAAGATTATATTGGCCACTTGGCTCCAGTGTGGATCTTTGGCAGAGAAAATATGCAACAGTTACCAGATTGTTAGACCAGGTCCCTGAAAGCTACCTCTTTTCCACCAGGCAAAATCCTATCCAGTCTTCAAAGCCCAGTCAAACACCACCTCTGAGACACCCTCCTGGCCTCCTTCAAATAGATTTACTCCCATCTACCTCTGTGCTCCTGTGGCCTCTGTTCATATTATCAGGGCACACACTGTATTGTAAGTGGCACATAACATGCTGTTTTATGCACTGATCTATGAGCTCCTTAAGCTCAGGCTGAAGCCATTTTTATAGCTCTCAAACCTAGAACAGTATCCAACATTCAGGAAATGATCAATAAATAGAGAATGAATGAATGAATGAATGTGTATATGTTCTGCCACTAACTAGTTATGTATCGTAGACAACTCACTTATCTTTACTGGTTTACTCATTTAGATAATAGGGATAGTAAAGTTTGTTCAATAGAGTTATTGTGTGATATAGAACAGATAAGATATATTCTTAATATAGATATGCTAGGTAATCATAAACTCTTAGAGTTGGGAGAAATTTGGGAGATCATCTAGTATTATGGATTTCAACAATTTTAAGCCAAGAAACTGTTTCTTCCAGAAAGCTAACAGGAAAGTCCAATATTTTGGACTTACTTTTTTTCATAAAAGATCAATGGTAAATGTGAACTTCTCCAGTTGAAGCCCCAGCAAACTGTTCCTTTCCTCTCCTCTTTTTTCACTCCCGTCCCGGGGTGCAAGAAGTAGTTTGAAAACCAACCCTCTCACTTCAGAGAGAATAAAGGGAAGCCAAGGGAAGCCCAGGGAAGGAAGGGGTTTTTCCAAGGTCACAGGGCTAGTTAGAAATAAAAGTAGACCACAGAAGGAATTAAAATGGAAACTGCACTGATGTCCAGGACAAGAGCCAATCCTTTATAAACACACATACTCAGTGCATACCCACATATAATGTTTCATTCTTACGATAACTCTAGGAAGATACAGCTATGATGATTTCTGAGATGAGGAAACTGAAGCTTAAAAAATTGAACTTGTACAACATTCCATGGCCAGTCATAGTAGAAATAAAAGTAATAACTATTAATATATCGAGCACCTAATACGTGCCAGTTACTGTTGTAAGCATGTTATTCCCATTTAATCTTCCAACGAGTGCTGTCATTATCCCTGATTTTTCATAGAGGAAAACTGAAGTACAAATTGGTTGAAGGAGTCAGTTTGCAAGCCCTGAGCCAGCCTGATTTCACATAAGCTCTTTTTGCACCTGAGGTCCTGAACCCGGGTACCTGCTCAGTCTCCTAGCCCAGTGCTCTCTCCAGACACTACTCGATGGGAAAGAATTCTGAAAGAGTCCTTCCTAAAAGAACATTCTGTTATTTATGCTCAGTGGCAGAAGAAGGAAGAATCCCATTTGTGTTCAGAGTATTTCTCAGACTCCATCTAAGACCATGATCTTGTTCCTTCTGGCACTGACTTGCCCGGACCAGGGCTGGTGAGTAGCACTCACCTCCTTCTGTATGGATCGGCTGAAAAACAAGGAAACCTCCTCCAGGCTCTGGGGCTTCAGGTCATTCACCGCCAAAAGATGATCTCCATGGTAAAACAAGCATCCCAGGCGCGGGGGGCCTTCCCACTGAGCCACACTGCGGCGGGAATACGACACGTGAGACGGAGGCCAGCTGGGAGGGCAGGGCACGCGTGGGGCCTCGCCCTGAGCTTGCTGCAATGCCTCTGAAGGAGACGACCTCCTTCTCCTGTTTGGAATATTCTTTCCTCTATCCCTGCTATGGGAGCCTACCCCTTCCCCCAAAGCCCAGCTCAAATCATACTGCCTTTACCAAGTCCTACGAAGTCCTACATTCCATTCCTTTGCTGTAATTAATGTCCCCTTCCCCTGGACTTCTATTGTATTATATGAGTACCTTATTTATTATATTTTAAATAAAATGCATTTTATATTTACTTGTTTATGTAGCTGTCTTTTTCACCAGGCTATGTGACCCTGGAAGTATGGTACCACCTTTTTGATTGTTTTGTTTTTTTAATTCTTATAGTCCCTTAGCTCCAAATAAACAGAGGGTGCTCAATAAGTATTTGTTGGAAGTGGGTACATATGATTATATAATGAATATCTAGTGAACAAATAAATGAATTGATTGATGAGCAACCCCAGTCCTAGAGAAGTCCACAGTCTTCGTCAAGTATTTATTGAGCCTTAGAGAATGGCAAATTTGGAAAAATGGAAGGTTGTGGTTCCTCTCCACTTAGAAATTATAAGATAAATAATGTGTAGCATTTACTGTACAGTGAAGGGCTTTCTTCTCTTACAAAAATGTAATCTTCCTTCAAAATAAATTACAAAATCTTTAAAAGAATGTAGAATCAGGCCAGGTGTGGTGGCTCACACCTATAATCCTAGCACTCTGGGAGGCCGAGGTGGGCGGATTGCTCAAGGTCAGGAGTTCAAAACCAACCTGAGCAAGAGCGAGACCCCGTCTCTACTATAAATAGAAATTAATTGGCCAACTAATATATATAGAAAAAATTAGCTAGGCATGGTGGTGCATGCCTGTAGTCCCAGCTACTCGGGAGGCTGAGGCAGGAGAATTGCTTGAGCCCAGGAGATTGAGGTTGCTGTGAGCTAGGCTGACACCACAACACTCACTCTAGCTTGGGCAACAAAGTGAGACCCTGTCTCAAACAAAAAAAGAAAAATAAATAAATAAAAGAATGTAGAATCAAATAAATAGTGATTAAGAAAATTCTCTGTCACACTGTCTTTTGTGTCTGATTCCCTGACAGGCAGTTTTTTACCTTCTCTCTGGAAGTCTTAGACCCTGACATGTATGCCTTTTTTCTTTTAGATCTTTGAATTTTGTTAACTTCATTAATTTTATTCATTCCTCAAATATTCATTATGTGACGATTGGGAATGATGTCTTTGGACCATATGTATGCCTGCCCATTCTTCTTCATCTTTGAGAAGTCAGAACTTGACTGCTTCCTGGACTTTTGGGTCCTCTTACACACCTTCCTCCAACCCCACCTTCCAGCTGACTCTCCTAGACAGCAATACCCTCATTTCTGCTTCAAAGACCTTCTTGTAACAACAGCAATATGGTAATCCAAGCCCCCTGGTCAGTTTTGCCAAATACAGTGTTTCAAGATATAATTATTCTCGTCGTCCTTTCCAACTCCATGTATAATCAATAACAGTCAAATCGCCGACCTACCATATCCGTCCTGAGGCTTCTATGAGAGTGAGATAGTTTATGATATCGGAATGAGAAAGGAACACATTCAGCTTCTTCACTTGGCTTTCATCAGGGATGTTGCTAGGAGACAAGACATTTGTGACAGTCATGTGAGGTGACTGGCCCTGGCTCTGAGCTATACTTTCTGAGTAGACTTTTGGCCTCCTATTTCTGAGATGATATTAAACATTTTCTAGATTGTAAAGGTTGTCCAAAACATTTGCAAGAAAAGTATAAATTTAAATTTCTGAAAAGTACTCATTAATGTCCTTCTCTACCCATCTTGGGATGTGGTAGTAGGTGGTAGGCAACAGGAAAGGAGGCAAAAATGGACTAAATTGGTTACGTAACTGTCCACATCAGGTCAGTTTGTGCATTTCTTTGCCGGAAATGATTCCATAGAAGAAGACACAGAGAAGAGTTAAAATTACAACAATCATATCAAATGCTCTTGGTATCACTTAAAACCTAAATACCCCTCTCCTGGTGGATGATGAAGCCTCACGCAACTTCTGGGTCCATAATCACACTGATGTAAAAAGCTAGGTGACATGCTACTTAGGTCAGTGTGTGTCCAAAGTTCCAGGACATGAAAGATTGCCAAAGGACAATTTTTAAAAATAGTTGAACTTGCTACGCCCAATCCAGGGACTACTTTCCCCAGCGAAAGAGAGTTATTTATTCACTCTCCTTGGCCACAATGACAGGGAGAAGTTGGTCAGATTCTTGGCTGACTTGGAGATTTTTAGGAACTGCTTTAAAATTTAAATTATACGCAAAAAAAAAAAAAAAAAGAGAGAGAGAACAAAAGCAGCAGTAGCAGCCTGCCTTGCTCTTAGGGCCCATAAAGTTTTAGAAATTAGAGCTTTACTTGATTAATATAGACAATTGCACAACAGTTAGTGAGGTTGATCTCTTCTGGTCACTTGCGGCCTGCGCTTCCGTGTTGGCAGGTGAAAGACACGAATCACTTCCTGAGCCTCGTTCTTGCAGGCGAAGCTCCTCAAACTGAGTGTTTGGAAGGGTCTGGGGTTCCTTTTTTCTGCTCTCTGCAGATCCAGGGGATGTCTCTTGGAAAAAACTACAGTGTAAGAAGTTAAAACAAACCCTTTTTTAGCATGTCTATTTACAATTTTCCGCTGTGTGTGTCAGATTTAAGCAGCTAGCAGCCATGTGAAAACTAACAAGGTCTTGAAGTCTATCCAACCACCATCAGAATCCCAGCCATAGTTAGAATCAAATCCAACAAAATTTCCCTTCTGAAAATGGATATGGAATCAAAATAACCCTTTACAGGGTTGGGAGGACAGAAGTGAGAGTGTGAAAGACATAAATGCAAAATAGAAAATAACTTCCCTAGGAGACAGAAAATGTCCTGAGGACATTACTGATGGTTTTCTGTGGGTGGAGAAACCACTGCCACATTTTCTTGTTTTGAGATTACTGAATTAAATATGTTGAACCTTGTCTGTGGTAATGTTTTGCATCAATTTATCAGCTATTAAAATGAACTGGCAGTAATTATTCCATAACAGCAGATTAGCTAAAATCAGTTTTTTAAATGGCAGTTTCACTTACCCGGATTTCATTGACACGTAAAGACGATCAATTCTTTTGGAGATCTGGTCTGGACTGCCAGGTTCAATGGCTTCATCAGGATTGTTGGCAGCAATAATATTATCCAACTATAGATAAGAGGAATAAATGTAAAGATACAAGTCTACCAATCAGGTATCTTCTTGTTCCTGGTATTATGGCTCTGCGCCCTGAAATAGTAAGTGTTAACATATCTACCACCGACCGGATGAACGTGGTTCTCGTTTGGGGTATATGCACCAACCTTACCAGAACCAGCAAAGCCTCTGGCAGACTCAAAGTCAGCTTTCTTCTCCCGAATCCCCCATGTTCCTGATACAAATGTTCTTTCTATTGGACTAAATTGCTATTTACCTTTCTGTTTCATCATTAGATACTTAACGACACGAGAGCTTTTCCCCAATCAATTCTACCACTAAATCATGGCACTTGGCTGGGTCTATGACACAGGCTACTGTGCTCTCAGGCAGCCCAGGTTGCTTGGTTGGGAAGGAGGGTGAGGGACCTAGAAGGCATGGCCCTTGGGAGGCTCTCAATAACTCCTTTAGAACGAAGACAGTCACTTGCAGCAATGGTTGTTCAAAACCCCTGAGGCCTCCTAGCAAGTTCATTGTTGACCCATCATTGGAATACTTGGCTCCAGTCAAGCCAATCTCCCGATTGTCCCCTACAAACAGTGCTCTTCCCGTCCCCACGTGCACCTGCTTCCTTTACCTGGCATGCCCCTCTTCCCTCCTGCCTGTTGGAATCGTGTTCGGGCCTGGCTGACGTCCCGCAGCCTTCTCTTCTCGCTTCAGCTACTGCCAAGTTCTCCTTTCTCTGGATTTCTATTGCCTAGTTTTGTACTGTTTTTTTTTTTGTTGTTGTTGGGCGGGGGTAGGGGGTCTTTTAGCTTAGTCTTAGCTGCTTTAATTAGACTGCATCTCACGAAGTGCCTAAAAAATGCCAGGCTTAACTGGTGCTTGACACACACCTGACTGCTTGTTGGGACTATCACAAAAGACTGCGTCCCAGGAAACACGAGCATGAACGTATTTTTGGTGAAAGAAGGGCTCTGCGCTCAAATGAGCCTGGGAAATGCTGTGCATTGTATCAGGCCTGGCTCTTTATAATGCACCACTGCATACTAAAGGCTCTGAGAATTCTGCTGCTAAGAAGCTTGTTTAACCTCCTTTAACTTGGTGTTTTCAGACCTATTTGGCCAAGAATGCTTACTCTGTAGAAACACATGTCACCATCTTGTAGAAAACCCCCAATTTGGGAAACAATGCCATCCCTTCACCCCCCTTTTGTCTTTCTATCTCTCACTTCCATTCTTTTCTCGAACTCCTGACCTCGAGCAATCCTCCCGTCTTGGCCTCCCAGAGCGCTAAGATTGTAGGCGTGAGCTACTACGACACCTGGCCAGCCATTCTCTTCTCTCTGTAGTCTGCCACAGATGTAGCTGCTAAGTTAATGTTAGTGAAAGTTAATTCAGGTTTTGCAACCTCTCAACTATGAAGCCATCACTGCCCCTATGCTACCCACAGAATGAAGTCAACTTGGCATTCAAGACCCATCGTGTTCTGACTCTTTTTTATTTTATTTCCCACTGTGCCATTCATGCACTCTCGGTTGCAGCCTAACTGAACTATTCACCGTACACATATCAATTGCCATTTCATCTCTGAAGCCTTCCCTGCCTCTGGAAGAGAGAGAAAACCTGTCCTTTTCTATTGCTCCCCGAGCCCTGTAACCATACCTCTATGTCACACTGTCACACAGCGACTGAGAGGACTGTGATCTCTGAGGGCAGGCGCGACATCGGATTCATCATTGTAGGCACCATGCCTAGTACAGTCCAGTGCCGGCGCGCAGCAGGCGGCCAGGAAGGGCTTCCAATGGATCAATAGACTGATACACGCCACCCAACTTACCACCCAGGGACCTTTGCTCATATTATTCTTGCTGCCAAGCATGCAGAAAGACTTCCCAAGTCAATCCCCCACATCCATATTTTACCAATCAAGTAAGGTCAAATCATCTCCCCTGAGCAACCTTCCCTGACCTTTTGTCTGGAAGTCAGCCTCTCTCCCCTCCCCCGTCGTGCACCCTGGGCATATTACAAGCATCTGTTCTCAGCATGGAGCCCTTTCCGTCTTGTATTATAGTCAGCTCCTATCCAAGTGTCAGCACCATGAGCACATCACTTGATTTACCTGTGTTCCCATGGACGCCACCTAGTGCCTCGTGAACAGTGCATGGCAGGGGTGCAGGAAATATTCGTAGGAATGCATGATGGACAGACAGAAGGGGTTACCTCTAAAAGAACAGCTCGAGGACTAAGGTAATGACTCTCTTCTTTTGTATCTTTAGTGGTCTCTGACAAGAAATCATATGGTAGATGAGCTGGTCTGAATTCTGGAGAACGTTTTTCCATAAAATGCTGAATGAAAGGGAGAAAAAAGAAATTAATCCTTTTTCTTTTCTTTGCAAGAGATGGAATTAAATCACACGCTTTCTGGAAAAGCCATAATAGATTATTAGTTAGGTTGAAAAGACCAGAAGATCTTCCAAGGTAATATCCAGAAGCCCACAACTTGAACTTGCCTCTGGAGTCTGGGTCACCACTGATGATATAAAAATATAAGCACATCATTCAGCCTTTTATTTTTGTTCTACCATCTGGAGCTGTAACTTAGAACAAGTGGTTTTCTCCCAGGGTTGGCATTCTAAGTCCCTAAGCTCTGCCATGGAGTACTCCCCCCCCCCCATCCTTTTCTGGTTATCATCCAAAGCCATCTGAGGAGGTAATTAACTCAGAGACACTGCACCTTTCCTCTTCCTGCTCAATATTTCTCTTTTGTGTTCTGCTCTCATACTTCTTTTGTTTCCATAGCAATGTACTTTGGTCATGTTGATCACGTGATAGGGTGAATTACTGGTTTCAAGGTGATCTAGGTTCAGCTAATTATTGCTCTCCCTTCCCCAATAGATACATGATATTCTACCACAAAGTAGCTGCTTTGTATGGTAGGAAAATTGTTATAAGTACAATTTAATTCATCCAAGAACAATGCCTTCGAGCAGGGGGTTTGGAAAAGACTCAGTATTCTCTAGGAAATCCTTGAAATAAGGTGATAAATAAAACACAAACAACCAGGTGTATTTAAGTTGTATCCATTTTTCTAGCTCCAAGCTCATGGAGCCAGATCGTCTGAGCTGAGGGTAAAGAAAGGTTCTCCACTTAATTTAAACAATAACAACAACTACCAACAAGGCAAATGGTACTCAACTGGAGCTGGTTGAAACATCACTGGATCTGAATACATAGTATGGAAAAGCAAACTGATCAATAATATTATCTCTGGGGGGGAGGGGATATCATGAGTGAAAAGCAAGAGGCACTTACTGAAAAGGATTGGCCTTCCTAACTGTTTTATGCCACTGTTTCTACTCATTAAATGAATAACTAGGATGAGATGTTTGGCGTGGTGAATTTGATATGTTACAAAAAGCTATTAAAATAGTTGGAGAGCTACCAACTGGATAAAATAGGAGGCTATGCTTCATTAGATGAGCTTGGTACCCACAGACAGGGGTAAGTCAGTGGCTAAGTCTCTAAGGGAAGAAATATTGATAGTATCCATGCAGAAGAACAAAACCACTTAGCCAGTTCATTGCTGATGTCTAAAGTTGGGAACATTGCAAATCCAAGAAAGCTGAGAGTCTGCCTTTGCCTGTGCAGTACAGACAGTACGGCAGGAAATCAAGTTGTGTTTGGGGAATCTCTTTACAGAGGGATTTGTGTGCTGTGTGTAGAAGGAAGGAAAAAGCTGCCAACCAGGCTGTGGTTTAGCCAAGGGATCTTAACCTCGCAGCCCCAGACGCACGGCAAGAGCATCTGAAATGAATGTATATATTGAGAGGTATCCGGCCAAGCAGTGAGGCTCATCTTTGGTATGGAAACAAACTACACACAGGACAACTGTCAGGGCTTAGGATCATTCTTATGGTCCATTAGGCTTTGGGGAAGGTGGGCATGGTCCAATTCAACTGCTAATTGGTGAGATTTTGAAGCATTAGCTGACTCCGAAGTGTGGTGTTCTGAGAGGGAAATAGGTAAGTATAATTACCATGTCTGGGAGACTATTTCTTGGCCAGCCGGAGTCCTGTGATGAGCTTAAAGGACCAAGGAGAGTGTCTGAAGAGGGCCTTTTATCACCCCATGAGAATTTCTCCTGCTTACAAGAAAAGAACAGTGTAATCAGGACACAGCTAATCTCTCATCTGGACCGAAGCAGCAGCCCCTCCACTAGGCTCCCTGCCTCCAGCCTCTCCCCATGGCTGTCTAATACTCATGCTGCCAGATGGCTGGTGTTATCTCACTAAAACCAGAGCTGACCTTGACTCTCTCCTGTTCCCAGCCCCTCGAGGATGCTCAGCCTGGCCTTCAGAGATGACCCACGTTTCCCTCAACCTATCTTCGCAACTGTGTCTCCCTCATGCCGTGTTCTCTTTGCTTAATCATTTGAGTCCACTTGCAGACATGCTTTGCTTTCTCCTCCCTGGCTTTCGCTTTTGCTGCAAGCATAGAACAGCCTAGAAAACATGTCAAAAATAAAACAAACAAACAAACAAAACAAACAAAAAACCCCCAAAAACCTAGAGACCAAAATTCCATCTATAAATGTCTGCCCTAAGAAAGAACTTAAAAAATTAGCAGAGGTCCTCGTAAATTTAAAATTTAAAGCTACTAGCACTTACATGAAAGAGACATTATATTAAAAAATGCAAGCAAGATGAAAAACATTTTTATAGAAACCACCCCAGACTTAGTCATTTGAAAGGAAGCTTATTATGTACCTTGAATAACAATGATTGAAAGTACTGTAGTTCTAGCTACTATTTAAAAATATTACAGTTAACTTTTCCTCCCCCCCACCACAATAAAGAAAATCTGAAGTGTCTGTATTTTAGCTCTCTTGCAAAATGCAAAAATAATTTTTTTCCTATTGTTAATCATAAAAAAATAACAGGGACGTACATGTTCTCACTTATTTGTTCCTTGTATTAATGCCAAGTTGCTAAGGAGAAAAAAAAAAAGCTACCGTTGTTTCCTGTTGAAAGAGGGTTGTGTTCAGTTACCCTGTTATTTTATTAGCGATATACAGTCACCTTTTCATTCTGATGTGGTGCTTTTATATTCCGCCAATATGATGACAGGAAGGAGACCCAGTCTTCAATCTTCTCCCTGTTGATAGGAATACACTTTCAGCCAGCGCGTGACAACAATAGCACCTGCACTCCTTTTGAACCAGAGAGGGACTCTTTTATTAACGTTAGAACAGGCAGTGAGAGCAGGTACCAGGGAAATAGGATTTTTCCTAAGTAGTTTAAATGGCCCACCTCCACGTTTGCACACTAAAATTACCTCTCATGCCACCTTTGTGGGGGAAGCTCAGAGAAATGAGCAGTAAAGTCGGAAATAACAGTAGTAATCACAGGGTTTGGGGCTTTTGGCTTTGATGCCGATTTCTTTTGTGTTCTTAAGTGAGCCCCCCAACATGTCAGCACTATTTTTGTGTAACTGTCCAGGTGTGTCTCCCCTTAAGGAATACATGTGTTTACAAATAATGTGCTTGAATGATGTTTTATAAATCACATCTTCTTTTCTGTTAACTCGCCCGGCAATTTAAAAGAAAGCATTGGGTCAATCTGCAGCAGAACAAGGTTCTTCATACTTTGGCTTTAGCATTTGTTGCCATTCCCCCACTCCCCCAAAACCAACTTTGCCTCTCACTCAAGCAGATACTTATCGATGAAGAATCCATTAGGAACCTCTGCTAGTGCCAGGAGCCTCTCTTGAAAACTGAAGATTCCATTAGGGGTGAGCATAGTCCCTCCCTAATATATGTAGCTTGCATGGATGTTGGTGTATTGGGTTCTTTTATATGGAATACATCTGGGGTGATGGTGACTGTTATGCACTGAATTTTGCACCCCCCCCCTTCACATGTTCCAGTTACAATCCCTAATAACCTCAGAACGTGACCGCATTTGGAAATAGAGTTGTTGCAGATGTGATTAGTCAAGATGAGGTCATACTGGAGTAAGATGGGCTCCTAATCCACTATGACAGGTGTCCATATAAAAAGGGGAGATTTGGACACGGAGACAAGCACACACCAAGAACACCACATGAAGTCTGGATTATGTGGCCACAAGCCAAGGGAACTACCAATAGTTAGGAGAGAATAGATCTGCCTGGAACAGGTCATTCCCTGGCACCTTCAGCGGGAGTGTAGCCCTGCCAACACCTTGATTTCAGACTTTCGGACTCCAGTACAGTGAGACAATAAATTTTTGTTGTTCTAAGCCACCCGGTTAGTTTATGGCACTTTGTTATGGCAGCCCTAGGAAACTAGTACAGTGACTTTTCAAGGTAATTAACAAGTAATGTAGACTGACAAAATGGCGTTTGAGGCTGTGGCATGGGTCTCTGTTCAGAGCATGTTTGTTGTTTATTGGTTTAGAATGTTTTGGTCTCTGGGTTGCTTTTGTGTTGCACACAGGAGATGCTCTGTGCTATCTGACTACTCTCACCTGTCATGGCTGATGAGGAAGTACTCCCTGTTAGTGGTTCTGATGGACATCACCTCATCAGGCTGACATTTGAACATCTTCTGTACAGATTGCAACTTCTCCTGGCTACTTATGCCGACTTCTACACTGGAATTTCTGTTGGATACAGACACAGAGTATTAAACCAATGACAATGCAAAAATAGAAAGAAAACGGACTACTATTTTATACTGTGATTCAAATTGAATAAAACTTTAGATCTACTTGATACATGTCTTGAAGATTATCCAATAATTTTAGAAAATAAGTTTGGATTTTGGATTCGGTCTATCATTAATTGGAAATACTTTGGTTAGCCTGAAATTTAATTCAAAACTTTCTATTTTGTTTGGATTCCGGGTGCCACAAATGATTATCTTTGCCAATTTTTTTGTACATAATTTCTTAAAGAGAGACAGCAAAGCTGATCTAAATATTTTTAAAATGCATTTTTGCCTTTATAAAATGGTAATTTCATCTGCTGCATCTTGTCCACAAATTACATGAATCAAAGACCTTCGCTGAATGCTTCTTAAAGATTTATCAACTATAACATATACTATAAAATGTTTATCTTTTGCTCAAAGTGTTTACTATTTTAGCTCCTACTCAGTCACAAATAATAAGTTTGAAACGCTTGGTTGCTTTGGTCAATGATTTAAGTTTCAATTTGTATGCAGCTTGTTAGTATTTGACTTTATAGTAGTTGTTGTTATAAAACGTTTCCTGCTTGGATACACACCGATCAATTTGAACGGAGCCTCGGTAATGATGGTCTTTGTAGTAGAAGAGAGTAAAGCCCTCTCCCTTATTCTTTAACAGGATGAAAAACCGCTTTTTCCAAGAGTTCTGAAACATAAAATAGATTCTACATCTCAGTTAAATCTCAGAGGAAACGAACGGCGTTTTAAAAATGCTCACGAGGCTGGTGGGAGGCTTACTAAATCATAGTGAATACTTACCACAGAGGAGAAAAGCGGAGGAGGTGGTGATTTAATAAAGTGATCTTGTTTGCAGACTTCACTTTTATAATAAAATGTAAATTGTTGGCCTAATAAAAGAGAGTGAACGGGACCCAGTTTGTTCTCCATTAATTTCTGAAAAGAATTGCTCTAATTGGAAAACATTGTTTATCTCTGGAACAGTCTTCAAATTATTCGGTTATTGGAAAGAACACCCATAATAACTCAGGAAAACAAAGGACCAAGTGTATGATTCTATGATTCTTATTTACTCACAGTGTGAGGCCTTCATTTATACAACATTTAGGACACCTTAATTCAGCCCGTGCTGTCTGGCTCTCTATTTCTGAAGCCTGGCATTGGCTCTCTACATATGAGCAAAGGTGGTCTCATTTCCATCGCAGCAACATGATAATTCTGCATTGCCCTTTGGCATAACAAACCAAGTAAAACCAGTTGCTATTAAAAACGAGGTGGCAAAAGGCTGTTTTGCGAAGTGGGAGCAGGTGGAGTTGCTGCAGAAGTTGGGGAGGAAGGGATGGAAAGGACAGCTACCTTGCCAGAATTACTACGTACTATTCTAATAGTTCCAAAAGCTGTGTTATTTAATACCAAATCCTGACTCTGTTTTCACTTCATAAAAAAGCTTTAAGTTTGATAATTTTTTTTTGAGAGAGTCTCACTCTCTTGCCTAGGTTAGAGTGGTGTGGCATTAGCCTGGCTCACAGCAACCTCAAACTCCTGGGCTCAAGCAATCCTCCTGCCTCAGCCTCCCAGGTAGCTGGGACTACAGGCACGCGCCACTGTGCCTGGCTAATTTTTTCTATTTTTAGTTGTTTGGCTAATTTCTTTCTATTTATAGTAGAGATGGGGTCTCGCTCTTGCTCAGGCTGGTCTCGAACTCTTGAGCTCAAGCAGTCCTCCCACCTCGGCCTCCCAGAGTGCTAGGATTACAGGCGTGAGCCAAGAAGCTTTAAGTTTTTAAGTAAAGGCTGCCTTTTCCAAAACTAAGGACAAACTAAACTCACCTGGATGTGAAAGCAAAACCAAGCTCAACAAAACCAAAACCCAAAACCCAACACACGTGTGTGGTGAAACTACCTGAAGTCAGAGAAAGAACCATTGATTGAAACAGATTAGAGGGCCATAAACAGTGCCTGTTCCATCACACAAGACTGGAAACACTTATAATTTACAGAGCATTGGGCAGAATACTCGGGAAGGTCTTGCCTCAGTAGCGAGGGATAATTAGCCCTTGGCTGAAGACTGCTCCAGATCCACCTAACAAATCACAGAAGCAAGACTTAAAAGAACAAGGACCCCTTGGTTACGACAAGGGGTCCGTCCATCCTCTGTGGCAAATGTGTCTTGCTCTTGCTTTGTAAACCTATATCTTGCTCTTGCTCTGTAAACTTATCTTGTCATTCCTCAATAAATTTGGTTTCATGCTTGCCTTAAAAAAACAAAAACACAAAAACAAGGTTGTTTGCAAGAAACTTAATTACATCCCAGAACAAAGCTCAAGATTTATAGGAATGCAAAAATATCCAGGACCTGACAAGGTAAAATTTGCAGTGTCTGGCAATCAAAGATTACCAGGCATGCAGAGAGGCAGGAAAATATGACCTATAATGAGGAGACTAATCAACAATTAAAACAGATCTAGAACTGACCCCGATGTTAGCATTGGCAGAGAAGATCATTTTTAAAGTTATTAAAACAGTTATTATCATTGTATTTTCATGAAGTTAGGTAGAGACATAGAAGATATAAAAAAGACTCAGTGAAATGTTAGAGATGAAAACTACAATGTCTCAGGGAGGAAAAAAAACCACTGATGGCTGGCCGGGCACGGTGGCTCACGCCTGTAATCCTAGCACTCTGGGAGGCTGAGGTAGGTGGATTGCTCGAGGTCAGGAGTTCGAAACCAGCCTGAGCAAGAGCGAGACCCCCGTCTCTACTATAAATAGAAAGAAATTAATTGGCCAACTAAGTTGATATATATAGAAAAAAAAATTAGCTGGGCATGGTGCCATCGCCTGTAGTCCCAGCCTCCTCGGGATGCTGGAGGCAGGAGGATTGCTTGAGCCCAGAATTTGAGTTGTTGTGAGCTAGGCTGACGCCACGGCACTCACTCTAGCCTGGGCAACAAAGCGAGACTCTGTCTCAAAAAAACAAAACGAACAAACAAAAAAACAAAACCACTGATGGGAATGAGAATAAAGGCAGATTAAATATTGCAGGAGAAAAGTTTAGTGAACTCGAAGGCATAGCAATAGGGACTATCAAAATCAACAACAGTGAAAAAAGAATTCAAAAACATAAAAAGAGCACCAGTACACTGTGGACAATTTCAAGTGGCCTAATACACATGTAAGAGGAATCCTTGAAGTGAGGGACAGAGACAGACAAAACATCCAAAGAAATAATGCTAAAAATGTTACAAACTTAAGCTATAAACCCAGAGATCTAAGCCAGCTCAGTGAACCCCAAGATAGGATAAACAAAGGAAAGTACACCAAGGCTCATCATAATGAAATTGCTAAAACCAATGATAAGAAAAAATCTTTACAAACGCCAGAAGGAAAAGAAAAGAATGAATGTGTACAGAACAAGGACAAGGAACAAATATACTGACTTCTCATCAGAAACAATGCAAACAAGAAAAGTGAAACAATATATTTAAAGTAGTGAAAAAAATACCATCATTCAAAATTTCATATTCAGCAAAATGTATTTTAAAAATGAAGGCAATTTAGACTTTTTAGACTCATAAAAGCTGAAAGAATTTATCACTAGGAGGCTTGCGTTGTTAAGAAATATCAAAGGAAATCTTTCAAACACAAGGGATATGCAGATGGAAATCTGAATTTATACAAAGGAATGAAGAACACTGAAATGGTAACTACAAGGGTATATATATGAAAAGTTTTTCTTACTACTTAAAACATTAAAGAGTCAATTGATTGTTTAAACAAAAATAATAACATATGTTATGCAGATTATAACATATGTACAAGTAAAATGCAATCTGATGGTACTATAAAGGCCAGAAGAAAAAAATGGAAATACATTTTTGTAAAGCTCTTATATTATATGTGAATTGGTATAATACCACTGGAAGTTAGACTGCACTATGTTAAAGACATGTTTAAAGCAATCACTAAAATAACAAAACAGACATTTACAACTAATAAGCCAACAACAGAGATAAAGTGAAATCATAAAAAAAAAAAACAACCCTCAATTCCGACTCATTCTGAGGCCAGGATTACTCTTCTTGATAAAACTCTTGGCAAACTAGGAACAGAAGGGAATTTTCTCAGCCTGCCAAAGTGCTGGGATTATAGGTATGAGCCACCACACAAGTTACGATCTCTTTTAAATCCCTATTCATCTTATAGGGTCTAGCTCAAATCCCTTCTCCATAAAACCTCTCTGGATTCCAATAATTATTAATACTTACATGCTTTTTCTTCTTCAGACTCCATAGCATTTTGTATTTATTTCATGATTCCTGTCATAGCCTAATTATATGTGCTGATGTTAACTTCCCAATACAGCTACTTGCTTAACTTCCTAACAAGATTATAGACTCCTTGCAGACAATGCCTCTTATTAATTAATCTGCATATCCCTGTAATATAAAGCACAGAGACTTACTAGTAATGGGTGCTATGTAAATATTTTTTAGTTGAATTGGATAATTTAACTGATGAGTGACTTTATCCTAAGTTCTGCTCTTCTAACCACTCGCCTACAATGAGCTATGTGAATAAGCAAGAACATTTGAATACTGTACCTTGAGCTACCTCATAGTAAATCCTGTTAACAATTTAGGCAGTTTCTTTAAGAGGGAGCAACATGTAAAATTAAGGAAATACTCGCCAGTCCTTGCTGGGTCATGGTTTTTGCTATTAGCACTGTCTTCAAGCAAAAGATACAATTTGGGGCCCATGAAAAAACAGAAAATGTTAACTTTCTAGACAGGTAAACTCTTACACGATAATTAACTGAATCCAGGAAGGGATTCCTGCTACATTCTCAAACCAAGAATCATTGTCACAGAAAGCCACCCATTATTCCCACTAAGACCAATTTCTGTATCCTGGTCAGCTTAAAGGGAGTTGTTGGTCATTTTCAATAAAAAGATTTCTCCTGAGATTATGCCTGTTGGGTACCTGGACTCTTCTGAGGTTTGGATTCCATGCTGGCTGGCTGTTCTCACCTGTCAAAAAGAAGGGTTCAGTAGGTCAGTCCCCAGACAACAGTGTGTACGCTTCATTGATTAGCCACTGAATCCCCGAGCACCACCATGGTGCTCATGATGCTCATGAGAAGGGTTATGGGTCTCCCGCCTTCCATTCTCTCTTTAATATTTCCCTGCCTGGCCCTGAGGCTGAAGGTGGCCCCCGTGACGAGACAAATCCAAGCAGCTGTGCTCATGCAGTGGGTGGCTCTGCGGAGGTGTTTGTTGTACAGATGACTGAAGGCGCTGTCTTCCTTAGACTTTCTCTGTGCCTGCTTCCTAAGTGGCTCTGACGAGAGCCCTGGGGGACAGCAGCACCAAGGAGGAGAGGTAAGAACAGGGCAGAGGGCAGAACAAACACAGCTGCCGGCTGAGAGGAAGCCCAAGTCCCTTTCCATGCCAGGAGCTCACTTACTCCAGAGGGAAACTTAGGAGCCAGCACCAGGCCACCCCTGTTCTTTAGCTGCCTCAGCCACCCGAGCGGGCCCTCCTCATGCTGCCCAACCCTGGGGGCTGAGGGCGACACAGGGAAACTGAATGTGAGAGGCCAAGTCCTCGCCTGGACAGCTGCTGGTGATCTCGTGACCAACACAGGGTCTAAGAGAAGGGGACTCTCATGGGGAAAGGGCTCCAGGGAAGGGGAGATCTTTGAAACCAGGAAGGTGTTGGTGTTTAACATATACCTTCAGTTAGTAAGTCCCGCAAAATAGAAAAACAGAAGGGAGGAGCCAGGGAAACCCCAGGTACAATGGAGAGGAGACAGAAGCCCTTTACCATCCAACTGACATGGTGTTATGTCCTGGTCTTCAGCATAAACTCACTCATTCCTCCTAAGATATAGATGGTTCGTAGTGATTATCTAATATTTTATACATATATATGTATATATATACACACATTTACATACACATATATATATATAGAATTTTTTAAACAGATATGGAAAGTCTCATGATTAGGACAAGATCTCAAGTTCTCAAAGTATACTTTGGGAGGCTGTCAGAGAATCTGGGAGCTCTTTGGAGACCAGTGGGGTCCTGAAATCATACCTACTCTGCCTAGGGAAAGGTTTTCTCTCTTGAGGTGTGCTGTATAATAAATAACAGTAGTGATTATTTGAGGAAATTAGTACTTTTCTGGGGCATCTTAAAGCATATATTCAAGAACTGGTGCCCTTAGCCCTTACCCCGTGTGGTGGGCACACTCAGATGCGTTCAAGGAGCTGTAATGCCCAGGAAAGATGCCAAGCTATTGAAGCCAAAGGCTTTTGTTTCCTGGAAAAGCAGGTCTGCCAGAGGAAGAGAAATATAACCATGTTCAAACCTTGCCCACTCCCCAAAAAGGATGCACAATATAAGAAAACATTACCCCTGAGGTTTTGTATCAAATTCATGAGGTTCTTTCCAATTTCAAGAATTTTACTGCCTGAAGAAGAATGGGAGACAAGTGGTTTGCAGCCCATGACCTTTCCCTCCTCCACCCATGCTATGGGACTCTGCCGCTCCTCCCCCGCAGCACCGAGCCTCGTGAGTAACAGCACTCCAAGATCAGATCAGAGCAGTGTGCCTGAGAAGTTAGCCGTGGGTGACATATTTTAAAGCCGCGTGTTTACAGCAAGCTATTTTGGGCTGTTCTTTGTCCAAAAGCCCCAAAATCATTTTTTCTGGATAAAATCCTTAATTATTTTTAAAGTCTTTATTACAGTTTACAAACTGAATTTCCATACATTATTTCTTTTGTGTCTCAGAATGGTCCTGTTCTGAGATAGCTCGTTTTGCAAATGAAAAACTGCATCTGCAGAGAAGACTGAAGTGACTCACGCGTAGGTCCCCCACCGAAGCACCATATGATGTTCACAGACAACCCCAACCACATTCATGCTCCCTGTGCATGGCAGATGGCAAAGTCCACTTTGGAGGACGTCTCTGGCCTTCCAGTGCTCGTGAAGGGCTCCCAAGTCACGTGTCGGGACCACGCCTCCCTCTTCTCCCCACCCACCATAAAATGAGATAACAGATAAGGCATGGGGTGTGGTGGCTTCCAGTGTAAACTCTGGGGTCTGGGGTTAAGTTTCCTCACCATTTAAAAAAATTTTTTTTTTATTTCAGCATATTATGGGGGTACAGATTTTAAGGTTTCAATAAATGCCCTTTCCCCTCCTCCCCCCACAAGTCTGAGTTGCCAGCATGACCATCCCCATTATGAGAGCTGTGACTTTGGGTACATTGCGGTACCTCCCTATGCCTCCATTTCCTCATCTGCAAAATGGAGGTGAGAGTATTACCATGCTCTGAAGATTGCTGCGAGCAACACTTGAGATCATCTGTTGATCAGCACTCAATATATAACAAGAGCTTGATAAGTGAAAGTTGTTAGGTCCTTTCCAGCTTATTCTATGACTGTTTCATAATGGCTAGTGTTCACTGAGTACCTAATACATTCCAGGCCCTTCTACTCAGTAAGTCCCTCATAGAGCTATTGTTACTGAGAGAGGAGAAGGAAAGAGAAGTTTATTACTTTGCTAGCAAATGAGAAGGATGGAGATTCCTGTCTGAAAAATGCCATTGTCTTAATAATAAGCAGAAATACTGAGCTTCAGGCAATCGCTGTTCAACTACAGTTGATGATTCTAATGGTCCCATCCCATCCCAAGGTTGAAGTCAATCCTGTGACCTCCACCCAGGACCTCCCTCCACCCAGTCCAGCTGAGCCACCACCTGTTGTACAAACAACAAAAGACTTACCCTGCCCCTCCCAACCACTGGCCTTAGGCAGGGATGCAGGTTTTAGTTCTCAAAAAGGAATAGAGGATGTTTTAAAGAGAGAGAAAATATTTTTGCAGTTTTGTCCAGACCATACCCTCTGTTACAATATGAAATCTCATCAGATCCTCATAACAATACTATAAAGCTTATACTATTTTTAAAATGATACAATACCCATTTATAGACAATGAAATAGTTATTAGCAAGATTAAGTAACTTGCCTTTGATCACATAATTAAAAAAAGGCAGAGCCAGAATCCTAACTTGAGAGTTGGTCTTAACCACTTTGCTCTTCCTCCTATCTAAGAAAGAATTAAATCTTTTCATAGTTCTGTTTGCATTTCTTGTCATTGTCCCCAAACAAAACAAACAAATAAACAAACGAAACCTTTCCCTCTTTGATTTTATTAAGGAGAATCTCCCCATAGTCATTGCCTAACCTGTTCTTTGTAACATTATTTGAGATTTGATGAGTATGATATACTAAGTGGTCCTATTTCCCTCTGACTGTAGTATAGCCTGTTAATGGGAAAGAAGCCAAACTCTGTAAAATAATTTAAAAGAGGTTTATTCTGAACCAAATTTGAGGACCATGGCCTGGGGCCATGCCCAAGAAGCCTTGAGCAAGTGGACTCTCTGAGGTTGGGTTACAGTTTGGCTTTATACATTTCAGGGAGACAGGAATTACACATAAAGTCATAAATCAACACATGGAAGGCATACATTGATTTGGCCTGAGTGGTGGGACATCTCAAAGCCGGGGCTTACAGGTTACAGGTGGATTTAAAGACTCTTTGATTTGTAATCAGTTAAAGAAATGAACCTTTGCCCAAAGGCTTGCAATGTTTTAAGATAAAGAAATCTGCTAATTAGAAATAAGCCACCAGCCATTTACCCCAGACTCAAGTAATTTGTTATGCAAATTGGGGACAGGTTTGTCTTGTAGACTTAGGCCTGTTAATGAGCAACAAAGGATTTCTGGGGGTGGGGCATGACGAGGCATATCTGACCTCCTTCTCATGGCCAGTAACTCAGTTTTAGGGTATACCCTTGGCCAAGATGGGGTCCATGCAGTCAGCTGGGGGAGAGCTTAAGATTTTATTTTAGTTCATGAGTCCAAGAAATTTATCAAGAAAGAGCTCATAACAGCAATATTGTTCTACAAAATTTTCATTTTTCAACTTTGCAATTGCTTAAATTGCAAAAAAGCTTTTAGGTAGAATCAACATAGTTAAAATGTCCATACTGCCCAAAGTGATTTACAGATTCAATGTAATCCCCATCAAAATACCAACATCATATTTCACAGATCTAGAAAAAATAATCCTAAGCCTCATATGCAACCAAAAAAGAGCCTGAACACCCAAAGCAATCTTAAGCAAAAAGAACAAATCTGGAGGCATCACATTACCTGGCTTCAAATTATACTACAAGACGTTATAGTAACCAAAGCCACATGGTACTGGTATAAAAGTAGAGACATAGGCCAACAGAACAGAATAGAGTACTCATAAATAAAACCATCTACCTACAACCAACTGATCTTTGACAAAGCAGACAACAATATACAGTGGAAAAAGGAAGTTCTATTCAATAAATAGTCCTGGGAAAACTGGATAGCCACATGCAGAAGAATGAAAAGGACCCCTGTGTCTCACCATATACAAAAATTAATTCAAGATGGATAAAAGACAAATGTAAGGCATGAAACTATAAACATTCTAGAAGAAAAAGTGGGAAAAACTCTTCTAGACATTCGCCTAGGCAAAGGATTTATAGGACCCCAAAGGCAAATACAGCAATAACAAGAATAAGTAAATGGTACTTAAATTAAAAAGCTTCTGTACAGCAGAGGAAATAAGTGAATAGATAACCTACAGAATGAGAGAAAATATTCACAAACTATAGATCTGACAAAGAACTAATAATAATACTTAGAATCTGTAAAGAATTCAAACAAATCAGCAAGAAAAAACAAACAACCCACCAAAGAGTGGGCAAAAGACATAAATAGAAGTTTTTCAAAAAAGACAGACAAATGGCCAGTAAACATATGAAAAAAATGCTCAACATCACTAATCATCAGGAAAATACAAATTAACACCACAATGAGTTACCATCTTACCCCTATCAGACTGGCCATTATTAAAAAGTTAAAAAACAATAGATGCTAGTGTGGATGCAGAGAGAAAGGAATGCTTATGTACCTGTTGGTAGGACTGCAAATTAGTACAACCTCTAGGGAAAACAGTATAGAGATTCCTTAAAGAAACACATGTAGACCTACCATTTGATTCAGCAATCCCAGTGCTGGGTATCTACCCAAAAGAATGAAGACATTGTATCAGAAATACACCTGCACTTGAATGTTTATTGCAGCACAATTCACAATTATAAAGATGTGGAATCAACCTAAGTGCCCATCAATTCATGAGTGGATAAAGAAAATGTGATATACATATACCATGGAGTACTACTCAGCCATAAAAAGGAATGAATAATGTCATTTGCAGCAACTTGGATGGAACTGGAGATCATTATCCTAGGTGAAGTATCTCAGGAATGGAAAACCAAACGCCATATGTTTTCACTAATAAGTGGGAGCCAAACAGTGAGTACACACAGGCACAAAGCAATTAAAGGATATGAGAAACCAAGAAAGGGGGAGGGGGGGGATATGGGATAAAAATTTACCTGTTTATAATGAAGACTATTTTGGTGACCCACACACGTAAATCCCTGACTTAAGGATTATATAAGGTACTCATGTAACAAAAATACTTGTACCCCCTTTAATTAATATTTCAGAATAAGAAAAACAAATTAGTTTAAAAAACAGCTTCTAGATCATCACATCCTTGAGAACGCAAACCAGTCACACCAAGAAGTACTTACTGGAAGCCAGGAGGTCGCTGGTCCAGGAAAGTGCCTTGTCTCCGGGTCTCCTGAACTCACCGGAGCTCGCTCTGAGCTCTGGTGCTGGGGTGACAAGTAAGCACAAGTTCTGTTTGAAATCTGAACCAGCAGGAAGTTCTCAAACTCCTACCCTTCGGCAGATTTTACTCTTGCCCCAAATTGAAATGGAAGCTGGTGCCCAAGGGGAAGTCCTGGGCTTTCATTCTTGTGGCTTGGCGCAGAACTGCCCTTGGCGTTCCTGCTGTCTAGCATCAAAAACTGCAAGCAAATAAATAAATAATTCCTGCCAGACTTTGGACCATCGTCACAATAACTCTTATTGATAAGGACACCAACCTACTCTTGACTTCCTGCAGTGACTACCACAGAAAAAAAATCCCTTTGCTTTCTAGCCATCCATATCTTACCTATGCAAGGATTCCTTTGTACCAGATGAGGAAACAAAAGCTTGTCTTCTCCAACACACTTGTGCATGCCAGTGGTTTCCAGGAAGAGCTGCTCATTCATCCATAACAGAGGTGTTGTCATCAGCAGGGCGGCGCTGGGCATGCTCTCCTGCACAGCCACCCAACAACTCTAAAAAATAAACAGGTTGAGCGAATGACCCCTCTTACACCTGCCGAGTGCTGTCTGGCCACCGAAGGGTCTTAGGTATGTTTTCATTTATATCACAAATTGTTAGAGGAGAGGACAGAGTGCTAGTGGATGTTATCTTCTTATATTACCTTTAGAAGTGAAAGTACAGAATTTTAATCTTTATTACCCTTATTAGGGTAGCTGGGCTCAAATCAGCTCTGTCACATATTCATTGTGTGGTCTCGGTAAGTTACTTAAGTTCTCTGAGTCTGCTTCCTCATTGGCAAACTGGGGTGAATATTACTAGCTTCACAGGATCTTTATAAAAATTAAGTAAGATTTCGCATATAAAAAGCTTCTAGCGCAGTGTTTGATCCACAGTTAGCATTTAACAAATGTTATTTCTGTTTTTCTCCTTTGTACCCTATGGAAGGTACAGGTATTACTGATTCCTTTATTTAGCAAACCTAGCTGGACTTCAGGCATGCAGATATTATTCATTTAGTCTTCATGCCCTGCACAGGACTGGTTTTGCTTGATTTAGGAAAAAGTTTTTTATAATGTATTTCCTGGATGTTTCTTTAGGCCAGCTTTTTACTATTCTGGAAATATAGTCTTTAGGGTGTTTGCATTTGGTCTTTAACCAGACATTAGTTGTAGCTTTAAGTAGTTTATAAAAATCTTATGCCAATTTCTACATACTTGGGAACTACCAAGCTACAGACAGCCCATCCTTATAACAGAGACTTAACTAAAAAGGGGAAGAGAAAAAAATTACTTTAAGACTTGCGTTCCTTTGGAAAGGATACCTGTAACACAGTTAGACAGATGGATTCTCTGTTATTAGCTTGTTCCTCTGTCCATCTATCCATTCACCCACCCACCCACCCAACCCATCCTGTTCCAGGCTTTTTGTCTTATTTTCCCAAGAGTATTACAAAACCTAATATATCCCACAGGTGCCTAGGGAAACTGATCATACTGCAGATGCAACCTGTAAAATAAAAACTTAAAAGCAAACAAAAATTGGCACAGAAGCCAAATACCAGACTGGTGAAACATAAACATACCTATAACATGCAAGCACAGTTTTTAAAAATTGTCTCCAATGACATGTAAACAAGATATCAGTCAAATACCGGTTGCAATAAGCAGTCACCTGTTCATTTGAATGATCAGATGAGTTATTCCATGACTTTGCTAATTGTGCTTCTCCATCCCAAAAGTGCTCTTGAGTTCTGTTGTCCCTTACCTGAAACATAGAATGGTAATGCCTAATATTTATGTGGAATTTTTATTTTACATAGAATATCTCCTTTAATCCTAACAATCTTGCAGTATAAATATTGTTATTATTCCTAAATTTATTTATTTTATTCCTAATTTTAAAAGGAAGAAGTTGAAGTTCAGATAACTTGTGAAAGATCATGTAGCTAGCATGTGACGGGCAGAAACCAAAGTCTGGTCTATCCCAATGTCGAAGCCTGCGTGTGCTCTTTCATAGCCTACGCCACGTGAGTCCTGCGCTGTGATCGGTGGCCCTGGGCTCCCGACCTGCTCCTCTACTGACCGACTGTGTGACATTGCACAGGTTGCCAGACCTCTTGGGCTCGTCATCCCATTCTGTCCCTTCTTCAAAGAGCTCTAAGTACTCATTCAGCGCTAATTATGACGCACCCTTGAATCAGAGCCAATGGCTCACCGACGTGCAGGTGGTCTCGCTGCAGGCTGCATGCTCACTGTCCTCGCCGGTAGTAAATACGTCCTTGTCAATGACACCAGTAAAGGAGTGACACTGATCACATCACATCAAAGCATCCTTACTGTCCCTCTTCTCTGGAGCAAAGAATTCAGGCAAGGGAAATGAGGAGAAAACTGCACACAGAAAAAGTTAATAACAAGGGTGCATTTTAGATTGTGTTTAAATCATACCAGACAAAAATCTATTTTCTATCATTTGTTTGGTGCTGCTCTGAATCATATTAGGCTTGTAAAGAGAAAGGAACTGATACTATAAAGCACTTTATATAATTCCATGACTGAATCTGGAAATTGCTACTTAGGATCGCTTTGGGGTGCAAGTGAAAAAGAGACACTCAA